TCTTACTTAGCTTATTACTTCTTATTAAGATCTTAGAATAGTAACTATAAGGCCTTTATAAAGCTAGTTATGCTTCTAAAGATATTTTATATCTTTTAAAAGTATATAATAAGATTACTATTATACTTAAGAAATTCTTTTAAGTAATATTTATACTAAGAAAGTACTTTTTCTTATAGAAGAGTTCTTATATCAATAACTTATTTAGTCTTACTTCTAAAGTTAGTAGTATAAAAGGTCTAATAGGTATAAACCTAAATTAGAAATTCTTTTAGCTATTTACTAGTTTTATTATAAGTTTAAATTAAATTAAGTTTAAGCCTATTATATTTATTAACTAAAATAGTAATAATATTTATAGTACTTTTAAAAATAATAACTTCTTTATTTAGCTTTTTAGTCTTAGCTATTTTATTCTTTAGTTAGGTAATAGTGTTATAGATTATACCTTATAGCTAGCTAACTTTAAGGGTTTTAGTATTTAGCTTTTTACTAATATTATTAATTATAGCTTTATATAAGCTATATTACTATTATTCTACTTTATATATCACTAAATCTTATTATATATACCTTAAGTAACGTCTACTTTATTATTAGATTTCTTAAATATTTTTATTTTATTACTTAGGCTTTTAGCTAAAGTAGTTAAGTTTTGTTTAAAGCTAGAAGAAGTTAAGGTTATCCTAAGTATAGATTTTATAAAATACTATTATATAAGTATTAAAGTTAACTTACTTAATAGAAGTAATTAAAGTGTTATAGCTAGTTTCTAGATAGTAAGAATTTTACTAATAGTAAGTAAAAGTTAGTACTTAGTTAATAGTATTTATTATTCTTATAGTTTTATTAATTACTTAGTAATTAGATATAAGCTTAACGTTATAATATAGCTTATATAGCTTCTTAATAATTAAATTACTAAGGTTAAATACTAAAGGATATTTAAAAAATATATTATAAGTTAATTACTAAAGAGCTATAGAAGTCTGTCCTTAAGTATATTAAGTCTATTTTATATATAAGTTTTAACTATTTCCTAAATAGTTCCTTTAACTAATAGTTATAAGTAATTACTATTCTTATATAAAGTAAGCACTTAGTAAATACTAATAAGTGCTTACTTTTATAATTACTAGTAGTTACTTTATCTTTATAATTACTTTTTCTATTCTTATATAACTTAAACTATAGTCCTTTTATTCTAAGAAGTTATTTATCTTTTCCTTATTTCTTGTCTATCTAAATACTTCTACTGCCTACCTTTTATCTGTTAGGTAAGGTAATATAGCCTATAACCTATTAGGTTATAATATAAGTAAAAGATCTATAAAATACTTATAGTAATAGCTACTTACTTTAACTTAGAACTACTAAAATATAATATAGTAAATATATTCTTTTATATTAGTATTAATAAGGTAGTATCTATAAAGATACCTTTAAGCTACTAAGTTACTAGCTAGACCTTCTAGTTATTAAAAGCGCTTTATAGGCTTTAATAATCTTTTTTACTATAGTAAAAGCACCTTAAAGAAGGGCTTACTATATAGGCCTTTTACTAAGTACTTAGTAAGAATTACTATTAAAAAAAGAATTATATTATATTCTTTTTCTATATTAGTAACTATATATTAGCTTATAATTATATAAATAAAGTATAAGTAAGTAATAATATAGTAATCCTTTAGTAATAATACTATATTAAAAGTAAAGGCCTACTTTTATAGCTTTTTAGCCTTAAAGTAATTTATAACTAAAGTAGCTATTATCTCTAGCTTTTATAAGTAGTATATTACAATAAAGTAACTAAATTATTACTATTAAATAAGAAATATAATAAATAATTACTTATAGTAAAGTCTAAGCTACTACTTAGTAAGTATATAGCCTTATTATAAGAGATTAATTAATACTAAGAAAAGGTATAAATATATAAAATAATTACTTAGTTAATAACTAACTAAATAAAAAGGTCTAGTCTTACTTCCTCTAATATTAGAGGAACAAGACAGAAGCGTGCTTAAGTACTCTAGGTCTCTATTTCCTTATAATTACCCTCCTTCTTAAGAAATTTATCCCTAAATTTCTAGGTAGGTAAAAGCAAGTAGGCGTCCTTACAGGGTAAATCGCCTAGCACTCCTAACTAGCTAGTTTACTAGAGGCCTGCCTAAATTAGCTCTAGGCCTGTCCCTTTTTCTAGGCGTCTGGCCTGCCCCTCTAGGCAGGCCTCTTTAGCTCTTATGCTCTCTAGCTAGCTCCTTAGCCTCTACTAGTATTAGCCTATTAGCTAGAAAACTCTAATCTAGTAGGCCTTTCTTAGGCAGGCGCTACAGCTCTTACGCTCTCTAGCTAGTAAAAATCCTATTCTATAGGTCCTAACAGGCAGGCCCCTATATATATAGTAGGGCTATACGCTAGCTAGGCGTATGTAATAGCAGTTATGTTAGGATTTAAACCTATAACTAGAGGAAGTAAGATAATTATAAGATAATTACTTAGTTAATAACTAACTAAATAAAAAGGTCTAGTCTTACTTCCTTTAATATTAGAGAAATAAGATAGAAGCGTGCTTAAGTACTTTAGGTCTTTATTTCCTTATAAAATAATTCTTTATATAGTAGTAATAACTTAGCTAGATATTACCTTTATAACTAGCTAGCTTACTTACTTTAATTATAATATAAGTCTTAATTACTAAAAGGCTATAAATTATATACTAAAGTATTTTTATTAAATATAGTACTTTTACTTTATATATAAAGTAATACTAAGTAGTAAATAAAATATATTAAAGGTTACCTTAGATACTTTATTTACTAATAACTTACTAAATTATTATAGCTTATAAGTATATATACTAAAGCTATTTAAATAGCTTATCTCTTAGTAAGCTAATAAATAAGAGATAGTAATAATATTAACTACTAAGGCTAAATTACTAGTATTATTATTTATTATAAAGAAGGCACTTTTTACTAGTAGATTAATTACTATACTAGGTTTTTAACTATTAACTTACCTAAGAACTAAATTATTACTTAATAAGTAAGTAGCTATTAAATAGCTACTAACTATTTATATTACTTATAATAATACCTTAACTATTAGGCTTATTACTAAAGAGCTTATTTAAGTATAAATAAGGCTATAGTATATAAATATTTATAACTACTTACTATACTAAGAAGTAGTAGTAAGTTAGATTATTATTAAATATAAATAGTCTACTAAATTAATAGCTAATAGATTAAGAAAAACACTTTATATACTAGAATTTACTATATTTATAGCTTAGTTAAATATAAGTAACTAATATATATACCTTAAAGTAAATTAATAATAAAAATTAGCTAATTATAAAGTAAAGCTTTACTACTAGATAAAGAAAAAAAACATATAAGATATTAAAAGATAATAAATAAATAAATAGGCTATTTATGGAGGATATTTAGTATAGGCTTTATAGTAATTAATTACTTTACTAGTACTAAGGGGGTGCGTTAAATATAGTAGAATTATATATAAATTAGCTAGTAAATATATAACTACCTTATAGTAAATTGTTAGGGAATAGGTAGTAAACTATCCTTACTTTTAGGGGTAACCTTACTAATAATATTACTAGGATTAGCTAGGGATTTCCTAACTAGAAATAGGGGGTTTTCCCTATTTCTATAGGATTTTACTATAGTTATAAAATATATCTAAACTATTAATTAATTAACTATTATAATCCTTATAATTTAATAGTTATTTACTTAATAAGGTATAGATTATAAAGAAATAAAAAGAAATAAAGATAACAATTAGAATTAGGGATATTAGGCCTATTTATACCTAAGGTTAATACTAAGAGATATTATAAATTACTCTAGCTTATAGGTAGAAGAGGAAGGCACTATAAAAGTTTTAAAAGGGGGCCTTATATTATAAGAAAGAAAGACGCTAGTACGTTTCAAAATAGGAATATATAGTCTTAAGTAAGGTTAAGGTTAAGCCTAGCTTTTAATTAGTAAATATATATACTAAGTCCTTAAAGTAAGTAAATCCAATGTAGTAAATATTGTAATTAAAAACTTACTTCTTTAGTAGTGTAAATAGCCTTAATCTAATGGGTTTGTTTAGAACTTGAGTTAATAGATTGGCTTTAGCGGCAGCTGTCAGACGCCTGGGGCGGGGCCCCAGGGGGGGCACCGGAGTGGGGCCAGGACGGGATAAACTAGTCACCAAAAGGACACAAAAAGGGGAAAACTCTACAGGACTGAGAGGGGTTAGAGGAAGCAGATTGGAATAATCGTCAGAATTAAACCCTAACTACGCCGATTGTTGACCCCTTCACTTGATACTATCCCAGCCTTTGACAGCAGCAATGCTGACTAGCCTTTTAGAGCAAAGAAATAGCGAACTCCTGCACTGTTCCACTAGTGACACTTCCTCGAAGATGCTTGACGGCAGTTGCCACTATAGGCACATGTCTACGAACTTAGTACAAAAAACATAATCAAGGCCAGCTTAACTTACATTCAGCCACTTTTCACCTCGCCAGTCACCGTCGATGTCAATATAGCAGTAACCATTTCTCTTTCGTCCACCTTTTGCGCCACAGGTAGCATCTGTATCAGCAGAATCATGCACCAGGTCCATCTGCGCATCACGTTTTATACAACTTCTTTCAGTTAGTATTAAATAAGTCAAAAGGGGGAGTAGAGATTACATACCTGCATTTATAGCAAGTTGCCTGGACTTGGGCAACAATGAGTGCAAGACTAAGGATAAAGGGGACCTTCATTATGAAGTATTGTAAGTAGATAAGATTGAGTGTAAAATAGGGTAAGATAGATCAGAATAGTGTGATTGTGTAGGGACAGACCGTTAAGCAATAGGATTAAATTTGTGTTTAAGTACTTTTTTATCTTAAGAAAATGTAGAGATATTACCTATTAATCTAGAATCAAAAAGTTATTTTAAATTTTATAAAAGCTTCTTTAATTACTTACTTTAGTTAATATAGTTTAGATACTAACTTTAGTGTGTTTGTTATATTAACCTAAGAAGATAAATAGTGGTAGAGATTTCTAGTATTTTCACGTACAGTGTGGGAGGGCCAAGTTAATTACCCCTATGACGTTACCCCTCACAGCTGATATCATAATAGAAGGCAAATATTCACCAAAAGTGAAGTCCTGTAGTGGGGGGGTAAACATTAGTTACCTAACAGGGGTAATTAACTTCAGCCTGGTACTATTGTATATGCAGACTAATAGGGTTACACCTAATAAAATCTTAAATAGCTCTAGATATATTATAGACATGCTATACCCCTAGTGTTAGGCAGTCTTTATAGCTATTAATCTATGTTATATTTTACTTTAGTACTTTATATAGTAGTCCTATAACAATGATATTTGTCGTAATACATCTATTATAGATATTTATTGCGGCAACTGGCCGGGCTGACCGGGCTGGCCGAGCTGGCCGGGCTGGCCGGATCAACCAGGTGGCCGGGCCCACCCACTATGGGTTACAGTATTTAAAGGCTGCCTATCTGGCCAGCCACAATAGTTACTCCTCCCCTCTTTGCGCATAATAGGAATCAATAGTTAACCCCTATTATTTGTCACTTCTACTAGCACGTACAGATAACCGTGCTAACTGCCCTAGTGATAACTAACAATATTAAAAAAACATTTCCTAAATATAGCTATTAGAACTCTAACTAGGTAGTTAGCTATCATGTAAAGTTAGATAAGTCCTGTAGTGCTACTAAGAGAACAACTTGAATTCCTACTGGCCTATATCTAATCTATTCTGAGAGGGGGAAAGCTTTATTACTAATAATAAATGTCGGCTCTAAATAGGCTTACAGGTACCTATACGTACGAAATTTCACAGGTACTATAAAAATTACTAAGTAAACTTACTCTATAGGTCTTAAGCTAAGTATAGGAATAACTTAGGTTTTAGTTAATATTTAATTTATAGTTTAACTATAATACACTCTTTAGAGATAAAATATTAATAATAGTATAAACTAAATTTTTAAAAAAAACAGTATTAAGTTAAGTAAAATATACCTTCTTATAGCTAGAAGGGCCTCTTTAGGTATAATACTATTCTTAGTATTAGTTCTACTTTTAAAGTGGCCTATATATAGCTATAAAGTAGGCCCTAACTGTAAAAGTTTTAAGAGTAAGCTAATAAAAAAGACATATAAATAAATAATACTATTACTACTACTATAGGTAAGCTATAAGCTACTATATAAAGTATAATAACTATATTTAAATAACTAATATTAATATACCTACTACTAATAGATTTTAAGTTACTTAAAACCTATAATAAAGCTTATAATATCTTATAATAATAATAATAAGTCTAATAAATTACTATTACCTCTAGCATAAAGAAAGCACTAGATATTAGGTTTACTATAATTAGTACTATATAATACTATAGATTATAATTTCTCTACCTTATATCTAAGACACCCCTACTTCTAAGACACCTAAAAATCCTATATTTCTCCTTCTTTATTAACATTACTATCTTTTTTAAACTATTATAATATCTTATACAGGGTGGCAGGGCTAAGTTAATTACCCCTATAATATTACCCTCTATAGCTAATATTATAATAGAGGGTAAATATTTACTAAAAGTGAAGTCCTATAGTAGGGGGGTAAACATTAGTTACCTAACAGGGATAATTAACTTTAGCCTAGTACTATTATATATATAACTTATAATAAGGCGCTAATAGTAACGCGCCTACTAATAGACCTCTTAACGCCTAGCCCTTAACTAATTAAGCTAGACACTAAAAGATCTACTAATACTTAAGTTATTAAATTATAAAAATAGTAAAAGTTAACTAATTAATTATGTTATTATATGTCTAACTATAGTGAAATCCTATAGGAACAGGGAAAACCCCCTATTTCTTAGTTAGTAAATCCTAAGCTAATCCTGGCCTTATGATTGGTGGAATCACCTCTAAAGAGGGGCCATTTCTCCGCCCATTCCCCGACGATTTGCTATGGGGCAACCGTGAATTCGCCGGTTAATGCACGTGTACAGAGAATTCCGCTATATTTAACAAGTGGTCCTCACTAAGCACTTATGTCAACACCACTTAGTGTATAATTAGAGAGAGTATTAACTTTTTGTAATTATGTTAGAGGGGACTTTACTAACAAGCAGGAGGCAGGCAGGGGGCTTATGTACTTATCTAGAGGCTTAATAGTGACTACTAGTCCACTGTAAATAGTAATATCTTATTACTTACCTCTACCTCTTACTCTTTCCCTACTCTACTAGCAATACGTATTAAAGTATATATTTAGTTATAATAACCTTATGTTAATTAATTACTCTGTTATATATGTAATTATCTCTATAATACGCGGACATCGCCGATTAGCCCTTTTCAAGAGGCAAATACAGACAGAGTATATAGATTATTATTTTCCTTTGTCTTAGGTGGAGAAATCTATCTAAGAAATAATCAGCGCATTTACAGCCAATTGTGTTAAAGCGTGTAATTATTAAAGTGGGCGAAATGGCCGCGTGCGCCTGAGCGCACGGTGGGGCAATTAGGCCGTAAATGCGCCAGTCATTTCTCGGATGGATTTTGTTAAATGTGGCGGAATTACATGTGAATTAGCTGGCGAATACACGGTTGCTGTACAGCGAATTATTAGGGAATAGGCAGTGAATTAGCCCTACTTTTAGGGGTAACTTTACTAATAATATCGCTAGGATTAGTTAGGGATTTCCTTACTAAGAAATAGAGGTTTTTCTCTATTACTATAGGAATTTACTATAGTTATATAATATAAAATAGAATTAATTAAGTAACTATTATAATCCTTATTATTTAATAATTAATAGTCTAATATATATATTTATAATAACTAATATACCTATCTACTAATTAAATACTATAATAATAATTAATAAGAACTATAATTATAAAGTAACTATTTTATAATTATATAGTAATTAGTTTATATAGCTTAACGGTATTTAAGTAAAAGTAAAGCGTTATAATCTCTAGGAGTATATTAATCTAGAGGTTATAGTAATAGACTAATTAATCCTTAAAATATATCTAAAGAAACTAATAAAGCTAATTATAACGTAATATTTATATACCTTAACTAAGGATAAGCTTACTGCTTACTAAGAGGTTACTATAGCTATAGTAATTACTAAGATATCTTAGTAAGTAACTATATAGCTATATATAGTAAGAAGTAAGGCTATTATAGCTATGCTTAATAGGCTTATATATAAAACTAAATATATAATAACACTAGATAAGTTTAACCTATATAATCTTATATACTTAAATAGCTAAATAAGCTACTATTATAAAGAAGTATATAAGTATACTACTTAGTAAAAAGATATTAAAAATATAACTAATATAGTTAGATTTACTATATTTATAGATCTTTAATAAAAATATTATAAGTTTAATAAATTACTAGCTAAATAGCTTAATAAGCTTAGTATAGTAGTAAGAATAACTAAAAAAAAGTATATAAAGTACGCTTATAATAAGTATAGTAAAGTATTAGTAAAAGCCTAGTAAAAAGCCTTAACTACTAAAAAGAATCTTACTATATAGCTTTATAAATAAAATATAGCCTATAGTAAATTAGTATAAGTTAATTTACCTAACTACTAATAGCTATTAATTTAGTTTAATAACCTTATTACTACTTTATAAAGTAGCTTACTTAGCTTTTAGCTAGATTTATATATAGTAACTAGTAAAATAATAAGTAATTAGAATAATCTTAACTAGTAGTCTCTCTATAAAATAGCACTAGAAAGGGTTAAAGCCTTTACTAATAACTTATTATATTATAGCTAAGGAGACTATAGTGTACTTAGCCTAACTAAAGGTAATAATAATAATAACTTAATATATAGTAAAGATATAGTAAAGGAGAGTAATTAACTAATATAAGATATTACTACTAATAAAGTATAAGTAAAAAGATAAAATATCTTATATACTTTAATTCTTATTTATTATAACTTTATTACTTTATAAATAAGTTATAAAGGCCTAATAATTAGTAAGTAAATATATAACGTTAGTAATAAATTAATAAGTATATTATAAGTAATTCTAACCTTACTAAATAAGTATAAAAAATTAAGGCTAAGTTATATTAACTATATAGTAAATACTATATAAAGATAGCTTTTTATACTACTTTATAAGGCTATAAGCTAGGTAATTTAGCCTTACTTACTTTAAGTACTACTAACTATATATTTAACTATATATTATAGTTTAGTATATTAGTAGTAGCCCTAATTAGTAACTATATTTAAGCTAGTACTACCTAAGTTCTAATTAAAAGATATAGTACTATAGAGATTATTCTAAAGGGTGCTAATAGCTTACTAACTAAGCTTTATAACTATAATATAATATATTATAGTATATTTACTATATTACTTATTTCTTTTATAAGGCTATACTAGTAAGGTATATAGTAAGATATAAGCCTAGATAATAATTACTTA